TCTCACTTGGTTCTGAGAACACTGCAGCAAATTCCCTCTACAGTGAAGTACACTCATGAGGGGATTGCAGTGGCAGATTTTCTCCTTAAGAAATGGGACACCAAATTACATCCCAGTCCAGTAGATGGCGGTAAGAAATAGCCTGTACAGTTCAGTGATGTGTTCACCTACCTATAAACACAACCTGAGTCACAACCTTCTGCATGGAAACTTTGCAATACTCAAAACTTTTCACCAAAAACGTATAATATTGAACATCAAATATATTACAAAATGTAAAAATTCCATTTATGAGCCACCCAGAGCGTAAAGATGGGATATACCAAGGTATGCTCCATATGAAACATTCCTGGCTAAAAGCCTGTTGTTCAGCCTTTCATTACATAGAGGCTGTTTCTCAATATGTGTACTTGTGCCTTCTCATGTGCTCGTGTACTAGTGAAATGTCATCAGCCTTAGCCCTAGTGCTGTTCCAATTCACAAGACCACAAGATGGAGTACAGGCAAAGTCCCCGGATGATGTTCTCGCCTCTCCCTATTTACAGAGTATACATCACAGTAGACTTCAGATTCTTGAGATTGACAGCTGTCCCAGCATGCACTGCGCCAGAAGCAGCTTCGAATGGAGCGCTCACAGAGCTCAGAGTATTAAAGGTGCAGTTGGAAACCTTTTCTTATGCATTTTTAGCCATGTGGCTTAAAGTTCTCCCCCACAGCCGCTTAGCAAGTACTGAAATAGAAGGTCTGGAATTGAAACTAAAATACATGGTCCCCGCTACAGTGAAACATCAATGAATAAAACCAACCAATCACAAAAGACTGTCCGTTCTACATGATTGGTTCCATGGCACGTCAGTCACAGTCGTCTGCTTGTCCCTCCCCCTAATGCGCATACCCTGACACATAAACGAATCCTAACTGGTCTGCGAGTCACTTCGCTTCGAGTCTTCCATATTGTCTCGATAGCAGCTGAAGGAGAGTGTTAAGATTATTTGAGGCGAGAACATTCTACTTTTAAGCGTCGTAATATGGCCCATTTATCGAATTTAAAGGAATAGTACACCCAAAACATGATTAGCCTTCATTTTCTACTCACCCCCATGCTGAACAACAC